CCCGCGTGCCGACCCCGCCTGGCTGCGCCCACACCCAGCCGGCGAGCCCCGGCCCGCGCCCGCCCACCGCCGGCTCCACCTGCCGCTCCCCGGCAGCGCCCGCAGACCCCCTAATTGGCTGCGGGCGTCCCGGGCTCCGCCCGGCGCCGCGGGGCACCCTGGAAACTGTAGTCCGCCGCGAGCCCGCGCGCTCAGGGCTGGCGTTGTGGAGTTTGGGGGACCCCTCGGCGGACCCGTCCTGGGTCTGGGAAGCCCGCCGAACCCTGTGGCTCCCCAACTTCCTTTGAGAACGAGAAGGGACGCGAATTGGCTGTGCGCGAGCGCGCACTGGTGGTTGTTCCAGGGCCAAGAAGGTGAACCGGCATCAGCGCTGCATCCGCCCCGCAGCCCCCTCGAAGCTGCTCGGCTCGCGCCCGCTTTTCAGGTGCTGGCGCCCGGCGGGCGAGGGCACCAGCCAGAGCTACACCTCCCGAGGGCGGGTCCGCTGCGGCTGCCCCGGCGCGGTGCTGCCGCCTGCTGCGCAAAACGCTGCGCTCCGGCGGCCTCGCGCGGTCCCCGGAGACCCCGGACCGGCCGTTTCCTGCTTCCCAGGCATCCCGCATCCGGATCCATCCGGAGCCCGCCAGCACCAGAGGCCTGGGAGAAAGTGCTCCTTTGGGACTTATCACAGGCTTCCTGGTGGATCTTCAGATGTGTTTGCATATTACATTAAAAGCTTCTGATTCTTAAATCGCAATTTAAATAAAACGAGCTCATTACAGATAAAACGAAAGTCTTTGACTACCGTCATCCTCGATCCCGGTCGGCCGGTTCTCACTTCGCTGCGTTAATTGCTTGTTCCTGTAGACAGCTCGTTAAATAGTGAGCTTTCCGTTGGACTCCCCACTTTCACTGGTCGTTTTATTTTTCTCTTTTTTAATGATAACGCTCAGTGCCATGCTCATAACTTGTTAATGTGAATAAAAATAAGTGTGACCACTTTTAAAGTAATTTCAAAGTATCGAGCTCTCAAATCTTTTTATTTCATTTTTTTAAATTTATTGGGGTGACATTGGTTAATACAATTATATAGGTTTCAGGTGTACAATTCTATAATACATCATCTGTATATTGTATTGTGTTCACCGCGCCCCAGTAGTCTCCTTCCATCACCATTTATCCCCCCTGTACCCTCTTCTGCCTCTCCCACCCTCCTTTCCCTCGGTAATCACTATACTCACAGACCCCCCCCCCCCCAACCTTCAGTGAAAACCAGTTATCCCTTTAGGTTCCTTCAGCTTACAGAGCTGCAGTGATTTTTATCCCTAAAATCATTAGTTGTTAGGAAGTTGATCCACATAACACAGCCTATATTACTGAACCAGAATTGCTTTGAAACAGTTTATGTAACAAAAATGATTCACTCCTTAATGGTTATGAGAAACTTCCCGTAAAACCACCTGAGCCAGATATCTTTCCTTAGCATTTTCTCATTGACTACTTTCTGGTTATTGGTTGATTCATATTTTGAATTCCTTCATAAGTCAATTTTCCTAAAATAATTGATCTATTTATCTCAGTCACTGCTGTCCAACATGGTAGCCATTAGCCAGATGTGGCTTTTAAGCACTCAAAATGTAACTAGCCCAAAAGGATATGTGCTGAAGTATAAAATACACACTGGGCATCATAGTATTAAAAAGAATTAAAAGTGTTTTCACTTATACAGAATCTGAAAAAGCGCAACCTGAACTCAGAGAGTAGATTGGTTTCCAGGGGTGCGGAAATGGATGAAAGTGATCAAAGGGTACAACTTTCAGTTACAAAATGAGTACGTTCTGGGCATCTAATGTACAGCACGGTGACTACGCTTAACACTACTATTGTATGCTAAGTTGGTAAAAGAATAGATCTGAAAAGTTCTCACCAACCACAGATAAATAAATGGTAGCTATGTGAAGTGATAGATGTGTACACTAACTTTATTGTGCTGATCATTTCACAGTATGTACCTATGTCAAATGATCACATTGTACACCTTAAACTTACACGTTGTATGTCAATCATATATCAGTAAAGCTGGAAAAAAGGATTGTAAAAGGATTTTTAAAAATATATTGATTACAGCCCTGGCCAGTTTGGCTCAGCAGTTAGAGCTTCGGCCTGCAGTCCAGAGAGACCCGGGTTCAGTTCCCGCTAAGGGCACGTGCCTTGGTTGCCCTGGTTGGGTCGTGCGGGTGCCAACCACTCGATGTGGCCCTTTCACATCGATATTTCTCTCTCTCTCTTCCTCTCTCTCCCTCCCACTCTATATGAACAAAAAAATGGAAAAATGTCCTCGGGGATATATATATATATATATCACTTTCATCCATTTCCTCACCCCTGGAAACCAATCTACTCTCTGAGTTCAGGTTGTGCTTTTTCAGATACTGTATAAGTGAAAACACAATTCTTTTTAATACTATGATACCCAGTGTGTATTTTATACTTCAGCACATCTCCTTTTGGGCTAGTTACATTTTGAGTGCTTAAAAGCCACATCTGGCTAATGGCTAATGGCTAATATATATATATAAAACAAATGTAAATTTTGGATACATTGGATTAAATATAATTATCACAACTAATTTGTTTTTATTATTTTTAATCCTCACCCAAGGATATTTTTCTCTTTATCATCAGACACAGTGGGAGGGAGTGAGGGAGAGACCAATTGGTTGCCTCCTGCATGACCAACCAGGGCCTGGGACAAACTGCAACCAAGGTACATGCCCTTGACTGGAATTGAACCCTCGACTCATTGGTCCGTGGGCTGACCCTCTAACCACTGAGCCAAACTGGCCAGGGCTAAATACATTTTTAAAATGTAGCTACTAGAAAATTTAAAACTATGTGATGTAGTTATGGCTTGCATTATATATTTACTGGATAGAGCTAATTCAGATTTTCAAATTATTGGTCTAGAGTTGCATATAGTATTCTTAAATGTATTTTTTTATTAATTTTTTTTTCTTTATTGATTTTAGAAAGAGAGGAAGGGAGAGGGAGAGAGACAGAAACATCGATGAGAGAGAACATGGATTGGCCGCCTCCTGCATGCCCCCTACTGGGGATGGGGCCCACAACCTGAGCATGTGGCCGATTGGGAATTGAACTGGCGACTTCTTGGTGCGTGGGCTGATGCTGAACCACTGAGCCACACCAGCCGAGCTGTATTTTAATCTCTTATCAATAGTTTTCTTTCTCAATTTTAAAAATCTTTTTTCTTCTCATCACACTTGCCAAAATTTGTCTTATTGACCTTTTCCTAAAATCATCTTTTGTTCTAGATCTAACTACTAGTTTATAGAAAATAAAGGAGACAGAGGAATATGTAAACACACTAGAGATACAATTTGCAAAAAACTCAAAGTGTTTTCCTCTACGTGACAATCTGGGTTCTCCAACAAATAAATTGCAAGAAAAAATAAGAAAATTAGATAGTTATGAAATGGTCTGAATGTAACACACAGATTTGACTTGAATAATTCATCTATTAAAAATGTAAAAAGGGCCCTGGACAGTATGGCTCAGTAGTAAGAGAGTCCTGGGTTCGATTCTGGCCAAGGGCACGTACCTTGGTTGCAGTTCGTCCCCAGCCCCAGTTGGTGTTGTGTGGGTGGCAACCAATCAATGTCTCTCTCTCACATCGATGTTTCTTTCTCTTCCTGCTTTTCTCCCTCCAGCCCTATCTGAAGATTACTGTAAAAAAAAATCCTCAGGTGAGAATTAAAAAAAAAAATCTAAAAAGGTATATAAATGTCTAATCACTGTTCTACATCTGAAACATATAATATTGTACATCAACCATAGTATTTAAAAGCAAATTTAGCCCAGTTGGTGTAGCTCAGTGGATTGAGCATCATCCCATGGACTGAGAGATCCGGGTTCAATTCCCAGTCAAGGCATATGCCCGGGTGCGGGCTTGATCCCCAGTAGGGGGCGTGCAGGAGGCAGCCAATCCATGTTTCTCTCTCACATCAATGTTTCTCTCTTTCCCTAAAAAGAAATCAATAAAAACATGTTTTAAAAAATAAATAAAAATGAATTTTAAAAACTTAACAATTAGGGAATTTTGCATGCTGACTAGATATTTGATAACATTAAGGAATGAGTGTTATTTTTAGGTATGACAGTATGTAGTTATGTTTTTTAAAAAGTCACCTTTTAAAATACACATTTAAAATTTTACAGATGAGAAGTTGTATCTGAGATTTGCTTCAAAATCATGATGAGAGCAGGTAGGTGAAGTATAGATGAAACAAGACTGGCCCTGAGTTGACCATTGTTGAAATTATACTAATCTACCTTGGGATATGTTTGAAATTTTCAATTATAAAAGAACATGAAAAAAGGTCCTGATTATACCAATCAAGTTTATTGCTTTGTTTTCTGGTTCACTTATTTGTGTTTTGGTCTTTAAAAAATTGCTTCTCTCTTTAGTTTTAGTTTACTTCCTTATTCTAGGTTCTTTTAGTACTTTGTGTATTTTCATTTTTTTTCTTGTTTTCTAATGAATGCAGTCAGGCTATAAATACTCCTCTGAGAATCACTGTGGCCATGTAACATGTTTTCATGTGTGCACACCTCTTGTTCGTTTCCAGTCTGTGGTTTCAGTTTAGAGCTGGTTATATTTTAGTGACAGAGAGATAATCAAGTTAACAGGAGATTAGGGCAAGGCTGGAGAACTGGAAGGAAGCCATTGTAATTTTTTTTTTCAGTTACAGTTGACATTTAATATTATATTAGTTTCGGCATGGAGAACAGCATGGTGGTTAGACATTTATATGACATACAAAGTGATCCCCCCGAGAGTCATCATCCTTTTTGATTGACTGTTTCCCAGGATGTTATCTAGGAAGACCAGAACTTCTCTGTACCCGACACCCTAGTTCTGAGGTCAGATGTCCAGCATTCTAGTTCCGAGGTGGAACGTCCTGTTCTCTTGCAGGTTGCCAGAGTGGTCTCGGGGAAGCTCCAGGATGAAACTGAAGAAAGGGTCGTTTCTGTGGTACCTGTACCTGGACAAACTCTACTGCTTGCTGTCCGTGAGAAATGTGAAGGCCTTGCTGGAATACTTCAAACTCCTGGATGTGCACCACAACAGCACCTTGAATGGTCGGCAGTTTCCGAAATGTTTCCTCTGGGTTGTAACCTGGGTTTTAGTCATCAACTTAGACTTAAGACTGGTGGCAGGTTAGTGTGGAGGTTAAAATGGCAGGCTCTAGGTTTTTTGTGTGTTTTTTTTTTTTATCCTCACCCGAGGACATTTTTCCATTTTTTGTACAGATAGAGTGGGAGGGAGAGAGAGGAAGAGAGAGAGAGAGAAACATCGATGTGAAAGGGACACATCGAGTGGCTGCCACCTGCACGACCAACCAGGGCCGGGGACAAACTGCAACCGAGGTACGTGCCCTTAGCGGGAACCGAACCCGGGTCTCTCCGGACCGCAGGCCGACGCTCTAACCGCTGAGCCAAACCGGCCAGGGCAGGCTCTAGGTTTAAATCCTGGCTCCACCCATTACGCCTTGATTTGGAGAACATATCATCCTCTTTAAGTCTCACTTTCCTCACCTGTAAATGAGGATTCTGATAATGGAGTCCATCTCATAGTTGGGGGAAAAAGATAATTAAATGAGGCAGTGTATGAAAAATGCTTTGCACATGGTAAGGACTTAGTGATCATTGTCATTATTATTCCTTGGAGCTGAGTCAGCAAGACTTCTCATCTGTCAGATGGGAGATTTGAATCAGTTAGATGACCTGCAACATCCCTTCTAATTCTTGGTATGTGTGAGTGACTAGAAAATACTGACGATCCTGACCCTGCCTTTCAATGCACAAACTAAGAGGAGGCCAGTTAAACTACTTTAGGCTTTTTTTAGGACTAGGTATAAATATCCTAGCCATTCGTTGTGACCTGAGAGAAATTAATGTCATTTGTGAATAAGGGGTTCCTTCCATAAAGATTTTTAAGAGTTCATTCAATCTTTAAAATATAATACAAGGACACCTTCATTTTTTCATGATTTCATGCCCCTGTTTTTCTCTTTCCCCATATATTTTCATAGGGTCTGTCACCAAATCTTCATAATAACCCAGTCCTAGATAACACAACTGCAGGGCACGTAGCTGTAAACAGAAAACCCGGGTCTGAAACCCATGGCTTTCTGGCTTAGTCTCACCAGAATGTCTGCTGAGAACAGTCTGATCTCCCTAGTAACTCACTCACTGTTTGATGATGTAACACCGGAGAGGGAGTCACGCTCATGTCTTCTGGTCGCCAAGGGATTGGATCCGTGGCCTGAGTGGAGGCACAGCTTTGAGTGTTGCCTTCTGGGGAGATAGTGTGATTTAAGGCCCCGGAGACCTGAGTGGGCCAGAGTCAGCTGGTTTAAAAACAGTATTTGTTAAGTAGCTACCAAGTCCCTCACTAAAATCTCTCTTAAGGAGTCACTACACAAACATCACTGGTTACATATATGGCGTGTGGTTCCCAGGGGCTCATACCTGGTGGGGTGTGGGGAAGGAACAGCAAGAGATCATCAGAAGCCCCCGAACCATGACACTGTGACATTGGCTCACTGTGCGCTCATGGAGCTTGCACTGGGACTTCAAACTAGAAATGCTTTGTGTTCAATGGGGCCCTATCTCCTGCAGGAGAAAAGTCTCTAACCAGTGGGCACGGGGAAATCACATGCAGACACGTACAAGTGAAAATCCCATACGTTACACAATTTGTACAACCACACACCACTGTATTAATGTATCACTGTTTGTTCCTTTCTTCTTACACACCCGGAGACAGATGATTAGTGAGTGGAATTTCAGCACAAACCTTCCCTGTTCTTTAACTTACAGGACTTTTCTCCCTGACTGTAAGGCTGACTATGCATTAACTTATGTACAAAAGATACGGCTCTGCCCTGGAATGAGCAAGGCTGTGGAATCAGGGCCACACTCAGATCCCAGCTCTGCCACCAAGCGTGGTCGGCAGCAGCCGCATCACCTGAGAGCTTGTTAGAAATGTGCACCGGGTCCCACGCCAGATTTCCTGAATCAGAATCTGTACTTTTATAAGATCCTCTAGTGACTGGTGTTACTCCAGTTCGAGCAGTTACTCTCCGAGGCTCATTATAAAAGGGTGTGATGCCACCGTCCCTGTACGGCTGTCAGCATGGTTAGAGGTGGCTTTCCAAGGGCCTAGCTCCTCAGGTGCTCAACAGCGGCTGTTCCCTTCCCTCGTGGCCACATGCATCGGCTGTAATAGAAGCATGAGGAATATTGATGCTTTTGTTGAAGAGAAATGATATTTTAATCGCGTTTTAGTTATCTCCTCAAATGAAAGGCTCAGATGAAATGTCAGTTTCTCCAAGAAAGTGTCCTCGGTGCCCAGTGAGAGTTAGCTCTTCCTTCCGGGTAGGAGGAGCACTGTGCCTCTTACTGGCCACCTGCACACCTGTCCGCACGTGCCATGCAGCTGGGGTCAGGGGCCAAGCCCTCTCCACACAGCACGTGCTTTTCCACACAGCTCAAGGGCGCTTCAAGTTTGCAGAATCGTGGAGGGCACAGTGGCAAAGCCAGAAACGAAACAGTATCGTTGCTTTTCCCAGGTCATAGGCTTCCAAGTACCACGGAGGCAGCTCAGTTCCTTAGCCTTTTGGAGCTGTTTCGGAATAATCCATGTCCTGGTCTCCCCCCCATAACAGATGTGCTGTTCTACCACTTCCTTCGTCACGTGACCAACTGGAAGCGGAGACAGATCACGAGAGTGTTCAACATGCTGGACTGGGACGCCGTGGGCGAGATCGGTTTCGACCAGTTCTACATGCTGGTGTGCATACTGCTGGCGCAGCAGGTGAGTATCGAGCCAGGACCCAGGGCACAGGAGGCTCAGCTTGGCAGCTGCCAGCATCTTGCTCAAGGCAGCACTGAAGTAAGAGTACCCTAGAAACACTCTTCCTTTCACTCAAAGCAGGAAGGAAAACGTGGGGAAGAACTACTCCTGGTTCCCAAGTGTCCATCGCTAACCTAGAAGCCCCCACAGTTACCCAGCTCTCCCCTCCCACACCGTCTCTGAAGAACAGCCCTTCCTGCCTGTGCGAGCTGGTGCTTCTCAACCACCAGTAACCCCGAGCACCCCACTCCCTCAGTGAGCCCCCTTCTCGGAGAATCTCCTGGAGGGGTGACTGATGGAGATGAGAAACTCTTCCTTGGGTTCCCACCTCCCCTTGCACACGTCTATGAAGAAAGGGACCTGCACCTTCATCATTCTACCACCAGGGCCGCGATGCTTCGCGAGCAGGTGTTCACGGCAGGTGAGGAACAGCGTTCCGGTGACTAGAGTTCTGTCCAGAAACGATCACTGCAGGCGGCCTCGGTTCCTCTCGGAGGCAGATGCTGAAGCAGGACTTGACGTACTGACCTCAGAGCCCTTTAACCCTGAGCTCCCATGATTCTGCCTTCTGCCTTCTGCCTTTAGCCCTCTAGGGAATGGACTAGGGGCAGAGGAGGAGTCTTGACGCAGCCAGTTTAGGAAGCAGCACCAACAACGCTGCTGCTTGGTGAACCCGTTTCTCTCCCAACAGAACCACTTGGAACAGCAATTTATCTTCCGCCATTCCCGGCCTGTTTTCGAGCTGCTTGGAGAGCTGAGAGTTGGTCAAGAGAATTTCCACATGTACAACTTTCTCTTCAATATTAAAGAAAGCGAACTCCGAGAGTTCTACCGTGACTTTGACATCACAGGGGACTGTGTAAGTGCAGGTCCCTAAAGTGTGACCTGGCGGGCTCTCTGTCATAGGCGGAGGACAATGTCCTACTACCTCCAGCACAGATGGGTAAGGAGGAGGGTGGGAAAACCTGCTTGGAAAACGGAGAGATTTATAGGCCTGTGGAAGAGAGAGGACTAGATAACTAAGTGCTACCCCATAGACTATGGACACAAAATCACAGAAACTTAGAGGAGGATATATGATAATATGGCGGGAGTTGGTGTTGGGAAGGGCATATAGATTTGATTAAGTAGGAAGAAGAAATTCTATGATGGGAACACAGGAGCAAAATCCTAAGACAGAACTATGATGAAGACCCTGAATCGTGCCTATTTCGAGAGGAAGTCCATGTTGTGGAAGCAAACGGGAGCTAAGGCTGAGAAAGGTGGATCACATCTGAACCTCAGATGCCAGCCTGAGGCATCTGGACTTGATGTAAAAGAAGAAAGTGACCCTTGGTTCCTTTAGAGTCTATAACAGACTCTCTTCCTGGCTCCTAGACTACAATTACATAATTTTGTCCTAATTACTGAGCCTCGTTAAGTTTCCAAGTTTTTAAATGAGAAATGATTACAATCCTGCTCTCATCTGAAACCAAGTATCACATCCATCCTGAAATAATTTTTCTTTTCTTCCCCAACAAAAGCGTCTTAATTACAAGGAATTTAAGCTGTTTACTATCGTCACCATGGAAAAATACCAGGAGAAGCAGAAGGCAGAGAACGAGAAGGCTCTGCTGAAAATGAAAACGTTTTATGAAGTTAATGAGAACCCAATACAGAATCATCTTGGAATAAATGTATCTGAAATTATAATATAAGGAATCACCACTGTTAACATGTTTAAAAATAAATGTGAACTCCAAAGTAGATACCGTTACGTTGACTTTGCTATACGAAGGGTTCACATATCGACCGAAGTGAACCACTTTTGTCTTTGCCCATCCACATGCCCCAATTCTGCTGCTGCTCTTCAGATCGACCCTGTTCGTTAGGTCCCTGTGTATCCACATCATTACCAACACTCACAGCAGCTAAGCAGTTGAAAGCAGGCAACGCTTTCTTAGTATCAAGTCACTGGTGGTGCAGTACTTCCAGAACCCTTTCTATTCCCCAGTCCAAGACCCTTCTAAAGGGCAAATGGTGAAATGCCTCCGACCATAAGGGAAACTGACTTTTAAGGATATCGGGGCTATGTTCTTCCTAGAATCTAAATTACTCTCTGATGAGGTAGGTGTTTTTATTGATTTCAGAGAGAGGAAAAGGAGAGGGAGAGAGAGAAAAAAAATAGAAACATCAATCGGCTGCCTCCTGCACGCTTCCTACTTGGGAGCGAGTCCACAACCCTGACATGTGCCCCGACCAGGAATTGAACTGGTGACCTTCTGGTGCTGGGAGGGGGCTCACCAAGCCACATCAACCAGGTGCCTTGAATAATTTTCAAACATTTTTAGCACGTGACTTATGAATCCTCCCTACCTAAATGTACTGTGATGTTGGTGATGATAACTACCATTTAGTAAGTACTTGCTATGGGTCAAACAGGTGTGTTAGATGCATACATTTATTTATTCTCGTAACCCTCTAAATTAGGTCTTATCCTCAATTTACAGATGAGGAAAGAGAGGCCTACAGAGATTAAGGACTTTACCCAAGAACAAATGGCTCACTAGTGGTAGGACCAGGATTCAAATTCAAGGTCAGCCCTGGCCGGTTTGGCTCAGCGGTTAGAGCGCCCACCTGCGGTCTGGAGAGACCCGGGTTCGGTTCCCGCTAAGGGCATGTACCTTGGTTGCAGTTTGTCCCCAGCCCTGGTTGGTCGTGCGGGTGGCAGCCACTCGATGTGTCCCTTTCACATCGATGTTTCTCTCTCTCTCTCTTCCTCTCTCTCCCTCACACTCTGTCTGTACAAAAAGCATGGGATCCAAGAAATTCACTTTAGTTTTAGCAGATTCTGTTTAAGTTTTAAGCGAGTATTTTACTGGCTCAGAAATTCCTTCTGCATCATGCTAATAATTACCACATCTCCTTCCACCATGAATTTGTGAGGGAACAAGCTTGGCAAGTAAAGAAATACAGCTCACTTTCTAGAAATAAAGGATTTCTTCAGGATACACTATGCAATAAAATAAACTGTAAGGCATCCATTGAGTTCCAGAGGACCAAATAATCATCAAAAATCACTCTGTGATTTTTCAAGGTGCAACAGACAAGAATACTGCTTATCTAAGATTGCCATTCAGAAGTCAAACTTGTTATAATAGAAATCATGTTAATTACTATGAACACTCTTTATATGTACTCTAACAGACATGGGATTTTGATAACACAGTTATGACCACGAATAATGTTTAGCAGCCAAAACGTCTCCTTCTTCCCCACAATGGTACTACAAAAATTGAATGAAACTAGGAAAAAAAACAACACAAAAACCCAAACCACTAGACTTCTGATTCCTGGACTACACATGGAGAAAATGGTATGTACCTGAAGAAACTGTTGCAAAGACCAAGATGCCAAGCACCCTGCTTAGAACAGCGCCCTTCCCTTCCGCTCCTCGGTGGAAAATTTGCAGTTATTCTCCGAGGAGAGACGCTCTGGAAAACAAGTGTGGGACTTACGCCGACAGAGTACTGTGCTGACAGACTCGTACTATCTGGCTGGAAAGTGACAGCTGGAGACCAGCCAGCGTCTCAAAGGGCCTCATCACTAAGCCTACCTCGGAACAGGTTTCTGTCTCTCAGGGCAGCGTAGAGGACTTTGCCGCCGAGCCTTAGATAGAGGCACAATTCTGGGAGGAGAAACTACAATGAGGTGGTAGGAAGCCTTCTTTCCCACTTTCCAGTGGCAACAGACGAGATATATCAGAGGTAACCATATGTTTTTTTCAGACATGGTCTCTAAAGCAATGCGGATACTATACTTTTTGTTTCAGAATGGGGGGGAAGAAGGATAACCAAAGACAATAGGTTAGTAGGTTTAAATGTCGGCTAAATTGTAAACTAAAATTTAAATATTTTAATTATTCAACTTAATTATTTCAAATTAATTTTAAATAAGTTAATATTAAATTTAATAACTGACGTTTCAGACGTGAACAGGTAGTATAGTTTTCCTGGAAATCATCGGGGTGACTATAAAAGGTATCATGATCCTACTGTTAGATTCCTTTTAAGAGCATTTTCATAAACTGTGGTTCTAGAATCAGGAAACTCAGTATTTACCTGGGATGGGCCCAAACTGAAACTCAGTGTCAAAACTAAAATTCAGTTGCACCTTTAATAAAGTAACACTCTTTTAGGACTAGGAGTATGACAACGAAAACAATACGTCAGTGTTCATGTTAGGACTTTTTTTCCTCAATTACATTATGTGACGTAAAATTTTTTAAAATGTGTTTGTAGATATACTTCAAATAAGTTTCATTATTTCCACAGTGAGTCAATCCAAGGTGCTTTTAAGGATAGAGCTTATTAGGCCAAGTAGCTTTAGTATGCTTTGCAGGGTAGTAACACTGCAGTGTCACTATGTCATAGTTACATTCGAGTTTCTTGGTCAACAAAGCTAGTTTGCTAAGGGGCCTGAGCCAGGGGGTGCAGAGGAGCAGTAGTTGCAGGGGCAGATGACTGGCAGGCTTAACTGAGGAGGTGACTGTATTTTCAGCCCAGGACAACGGGACTGGATCCTCCACATCTCTATCAGCTACAAAGAGGAAAGAATTTCAGAGGAAGGTAACTAAGCGAAGTAAAATCACTTCTCTTCTACTACTAGTCCTTAGCTCTCATGTATTATCATCACATGCCTCATGCCAAAAACAAGGGCTAGAAAACTAGAAAAGGCCAAGTCTGCTACGCCGACACCTGCTGAGACGGGCGGTCACCGGTGCAAGCAGCCCGTAGAGCCAGAGCAGAATCACGGGAAACGGGCTATAGCAAGTGCGATGATCAGCCACACGCTTCTTTTCCTTAAGTACACATACTAAATCATAGCATTTGAGGGTTGGAAGTGGACACAAGATATATTTGCTAATTTGTCCAATTAACAAAAAAATAGCACTGAAAAAATAGTCTTAAAAACTCTCACAACTTCCGGTCAGGATGGCAGCATACATAAATGCGGTATCTGTCCTCCTACAACCACATCAAAGTTACAACTAAACTGCAGAACAACCTTCATTCAAAACTGCCTGACATCGAGCTGAACGGCAGTCCTACAACTACGGAATTAAAGCAGCAGCCACATCGAGACTGGTCGGAGGGCGGAGGGGACGGGCTGGTCTCACACCCACGTGTGGCGGATAAAAATTAAGACACCTCGGCTGGGAAGGTCCTCCCTGAGGACTGAGAGGTCCCTGTCCCACACCAGGTGCCCCGCTCAGGGTTCCAGTGCCAGGAAGAGAATCCCCATCACTTTTGGCTGGAAAAACCAGCGGGAACTGAGGTTCAGGGAGGCTGATGCGGCTGGAGCCCCAGGCAGCTCCTTAAAGGGCCCACGCACAGACTTATTGGACTCTCTCCCTCTAAGCTTGGAGGGGAGGCAGCTCGAGGGGCGCCAGAGACATAGAGGGAAGAACTGAGCTGTTGGCCTTGGAGCGAGGGCTGGAGAGGGGGCTTTCTCTGGGACAAACGTGCTGTCAGAGGCCTTTGTTCCTTTGGTGAGCCCTTCCCTGGGGCGGCAGACAGAAGCCATATCTGGGACTCCAGCAACCTGGCTCACACTGGTAGCCCCGCCCTGGTGATTCTCTGAGGCCCCACCCCGCCCCACCCAACTTTCAGGCCCACCCAAGCTGTTGCCACTTCCTCAACCATAGGATTGGCCTGTCTTGGATCCTGCTTCAGGTTTTCCTAAATTCTTTCAAACAAGCAGCATCTGGTCTCAGCGAGCCCCATGCCTCTCGTTAAGTAATACACAGAAACAAACACAGGGAGGCAGCCAACATGAGGAGACAAAGAAACAGGTCCCGAAGGAAAGAACAGAACAAAACCCCAAAAAAAGAACTAAGCGAAAGGGAGATAAGCAACCTAACAGACGCTGAGTTCAAGATACTGCTTATAAGGATGCTCAATGAACTTAGTGAGGGCCTCAAGAGCATAAAAAAGGACCAGTCAGAAATGATGGATGCACAGTCAGAAATGAAGGAGGCATTAACTGAAATAAAGAATAATTTACAGATTCAATAGTAGAGTACGTAAATCCAAGAAGCAAACCATCGATTTGGAATATAAGGAAGCAAAAAAGCCCAATCAGAACAGCAAAAAGAATCCAAAAAAAATGAGGATAGTGTAAGGAGCCTCTGGGACAACTTCAAGCGTGCCAACATTCGCATCTTGGGGGTGCCAGAAGGAGAAGAGAGAGAACAAGAAATTGAAAACCTGTTTGAAACAATAATGGCAGAAAACTTTCCTAACTTGGTGAAGGAAACAGACATACAAGTCCAGGAAGCACAGAGAGTCCCAAACAAGATGAACCCCAAAAAGCCCACACCAAGACACATCATCAAAATACAAAAGGTTCAAGACAAAGAGAGAATCTTAAAAGCAGCAAGAGAAAAGCAGTAGTTACCTACAAGGGGGTTCCCATAAGGCTGTCGGATGATTTCTCAAAAGAAACTTTGCAGGCCAGAAGGGAGTGGCAAGAAATATTCAGAGCGATGAAAAGCAAGAACCTACAACCAAGATTACTCTATCCTGCAAAGCTGTCATTTAGAATCGATGGCCATATAAAGAGTTTCCCAGACAAGAAAAAGTTAAAGGAGTTCATCACCACCACACCGTTATTATATGAAATGATGAAGGGTCTTTTTGAAGAAAAAGATAAAATATATGAACAAACAAAATGGCAATGAATACATATCTATTGACAATTGAATCTATAAACAAAATGAAGAGGCAGAACAGAAACATTCTCATAGATACAGAGAACATTTTGTTGGTTGCCAGATGGGAGGGAGGTTGGGGGAATGGGTGAAAAAGGTGAAGGGATTAAGAAGTACAAATTCATTGCTAGACTGACAAAACTCAAAGGGAAAGGGGTTGGGGGGGAGGGGTGGGAAGAAATAAACAAAAGAACTTATATGCATAGCCAATGGACACAGACAATAGTGTGGGAAAAGGTGGGAGGGCGGCAGGAGTGGGGAGGAGGGGGTCAACGGGGGGAAAATGAGGAACATCTGTAATACATTCAACAATAAAGATTAAAAAAAAAACCTCTCATAAAGTAAGTGATTTTCACATCAATGGGAAAAAGACAGATGAAAATTATCAGGAAAAGTGGGGTGGGTAGCTGGTAAAAAGTAAATCTGGGTTGCTACTCCCCTCCTAGCAGTAAACCATAAAACAAATACGTGAGAAAAATTTTTTTATAATTTCAGAGTGGGTAGGACCTTTTGAAGTTACAAAAACCCAGGAGTCATAAAACACAAGACTGATAGATGTAACAATGAAAAACTTAAAATTTGCACATGATAAATTATATAAAAACAAAAAGCAAATGGTAACACATGATAGAAAATGACTAATCTCTTTAATATAGAAAGATTGTTTGCAAATCAGGAGGATAAAGACCAAAATGCACTAGGAAATGGGCAAACATAAAGATAATCCACAGAAACAAAACACCACTGACCTTAAAAATATATACAGTAGTAAAATGCTAAATTTCAAAGAAAAAAAAACCAGAGGACACAGATTTTAACTTAGATTGTCAAAGACCAAAAGATTGGTCAGGGTAAGGGAAGTAAGAGCAGTCATACTGTTAGAGTATTAAACTGGTCAAATCTATTGGGGGGCAATTCAGTAACTACTCCCTATATGTACATACTCTCTGATCTAGCAATTCGACCTCTTCAGGAGTGCTTTCAACAGATGTACACAGACACAACGATGTAGCTATAGAGAAGGACATTCCATGGCAGCACGGTTTCCAGTAGCAAAAGACTGGAAACAGTCAAACTGACCAGAATCAAGAGTCTGAAATCACTGTGGTGCTCCAAACAATGGAACACTATTGCAGCTGTAAGAGGAATGAAGCAGATCTAGCCCTACTTATATGAACAACTTAGTAGTCACCATTTTAAAGAAAAATCAAAGGTGTAGTCATATGTGTATTTATGGAAAAAAACAGGGTAAAGTGGGTGAATACACTTAAACACCAGGACAGTAGTTCTCATATTGAGATTCCCCAGACCAGTAACAGCATTGCCTCGGAACTTATAGAATACAAATTATTGGGCCCCAGATTTACTAACTTGGAACCTCTGGGAGAAAGAGTCCAGCAATCTGTGTTTTAAGAGGCCTTCCAGGTAATTCTGATGCATGCTCAAGTTTGAGAACCACGTGCGAGAGGATCTTTAAAGATACCCAAGGAAACTGGAAAGAGGTGTTTTACCTCTGAGAGAAGAAACAGAAAATGAGGAACAGGAGTGAAAGAGACTTTTCACTTTGGTATGTTTGGATGTTCCCCCTATGCATAGGTATCACCTACTTAAAATTTTAACAATTGAAACCTAAAACTTTGATCCAAAATGGATAAGAAATGAGCTCAGTGCTTCTGAAAAACTGATGTAGGAGTTTTGATTTATAGCACGATTCTTAAAGAAAAAAAAAAAACAACCACCTGTTTTAGCCCAAAATTTTAATGCCAAAGATAAAGCATATATATAAATGACCACGTGTGGTTTGGCATAGCAGAGCCTAAGTCTGGTGATAATAAACTTATTTATTAAGGTGAGGTTTTAAAAAGGAGGAAAACCTTTTCTTTTGTTGTTAATCCTCACTTGAGGATATTTTTCCATTGATTTTTACAGTGGGAGGGAGGAAGGGGGAGAGAGAGAGAAACATCATTGTGAGAGACACAACTGGTTGCCTCCTGCAACCCAGGTATGTGCATGCCCTTGACTGGGAATTGAACCTTAGACCATTCAGTCCATGGGCCCGACATTCTAACTGTTGAGCCAAACCGGCCAAGGCAGGAGGAAAACCTTTTTGGAGGTTTTATTAGAATGAAGCAGATTACCCTTATTGTAGAGCGTAACAACAATTTTTTTAAAAAAAGGCAAAGACAAAGACAAAAATTGAACTTTTTTTTAAAAAAGCACAAAAACCCTACATACTAAAATTGTACACATCAAGTATTGGTCCAATCTTGTATCAATCTATTTACAATTAAACAGCACCATGGTTTTCTCACCTAGGTTAGTTAAACATGCCCAGAATTTGTTATTCAAAGTATATGTTCCTTTAAAATAAACTCTTGAGAGCTTAAATCCTCAACAAACAAAAAAGACCTCTATCAACCATAGGTTATTAATGATATCACCAAATTTACTTAAGAAAAATAAGTCTGAACACTTTTTTCCCCCAGTTGACAAACTTTGGGAGATGTTGCTATTTATTCAACGTGGCACACAAATTAACCAAAACTGTTTGAGCACTGTACTCAAAGTCCTTCGCATATCTCTACCTCCATATACAAAAAGACTCCTTTGGAATTAATGCTGCTATATCCTCTTGGATTTAGATTCAATTATCAGCAAACCTAAATTAAATGTAGCCACAATCTTTCAAATAATTGCATTAAAAGGGGAAGTAGTTAAAGCTCTCAGAAACACGACGTGTTGCAATTATAAATATTATTATATCTAACAGGCTATAAGAAGTTTAATACCATTTTAAACATTACCTTTAAACTAATTAGCAGTTTCATTTTGCCATAAAATTAATAATGGTGCTTCACATCCAAATAGGTATGGAGGTTTGATAATTTCCCAGCTGCAAACAGCTAAGTGCCTTCTTCCTTTAATTTTCCATCTCATGGATTCTCAGGGGTATAGTGATCATGTGATGCCACCCCCCACCCCCCGCCCCAATGGAACCAACCTTGAAAAGGCTCCAAATTACTTATAATCCTCGACAGCTTTATTCCAGTCACAATACAAAAGCATCAGGTTATTTCACCGGATTTTTCAGTCCCCTATAATCCAATTTGCAGGTGGTTCTTAAGTCGCCTCTTTGCTGGGAAAGATGAGAGGGAACGGTCACCTGGCGTAACCCAGGTAACAGTGAACTGGAAAGTACTAAAGTATAAAGCAATGTTTCACCATTTGGTTTCACTGCTGATGTTAAAGTGACATCAGTAAAATCTTTCATATTAGTATTTTATGAGTTGAAATTTTCTCTAAAAGATTGAAAATAGGCACAGTTCTCCCAGGCACAGATGGAATGGGTTTCCTTACACCCATCCTGCAAATTTGGGGGATGACTTTATTATCCTACAGTGCGAATAGCTACACTTGATTTCTTGCATTCCCTGGCCCAATATTCATGCACTTGGAGGCACAGTTATCTTTGAAAAGTTCCAAGCAGAGTACAGAGAACAATTAAAGTATTACATAGTAGTAACCTTCTAAGCCTGGATATGAAAACAGCTTCGTTATACAGACATTTCAAAATACCTATGCAGCAAGAGAACAAGAGACTTTTCAGCTGATTATCAGTTGAAAATCAAAGATCTAAATGCACTGACTGAATTATTGCCTAGTGTTCCAGAAGGATGCTTGCCACCAATGTGCTGGAAAGCACCAAACTTTAGTGTGAATGTAAATAAAGAGCTCAACATATGAGGATGTGGAAAGCAATCCTGAAACACAATTTGCCAGTCTCTAATCCTTTATAACTAAATATTAATTGAGCAAAGAATTAAGACCAGAATAGAAGCGAACCTCAAGTACTGCTCTTTCCAGTTTCCATTTTAAGAATCTCAAATTTTATAATTGTTATTGATTTCTGGAAATTATATTTGATTTATTTTTATAAAATCTCTGTATTCACAAGGTGCTTGGTGCTGTTCTTCATGGGTGCAATGTTCTATTTACAGTCCAAATCATTTAAATACAGCCATTACATAGTTGCTGGGTGTTTTAAAATAAATGGTTATCTATTTCTTAACTGCCCCTCAAATTAGAAATTGTAATTACATGAGTCTCAAAGGCTAGCTCTTTGTGTTTTATTATTTTTGTTGGTCTCCATCACAGATGGAATTTTTCACTGGTAATTCCTCAGAACTAAATCCATTATACGGAATTCAGAGCAGTGAAAATAAATTTCACGCCATAGAGTACGAAACAATAAAAAGGAGCGGGAGGGATCTGGGGACCAGCCAATAGGATCAGCTCAGTTCTCAACTGGTGTTGGGTTTTGCAAAGGCTGGCTCATTATAACCTGTACAACATAGTCCTTTGGGATCTTCAGCTCTTCCAACTTCATTTTGTCGGTGAGAGGTCTGCCAGAAAAGAACCACCGCTGACTACTTGGTTCCACTCCTTCTGCTGCATGGAGTCGCCTCTTCATGTGGTATACTGTGTCTGTGCTGCGGACCACAAGTTTGAGGTCTTTGCCAGTGGAAAGGCGCAAACGAAGCTGACACTCATATCCAGAATTGGGAGGTGGCTCAGGAATATCCAGAGTCTCTATGTCGCTCTTTTCCTCTATCATGTTGATGGGTGGTGCCAGGCAATACACTGGAAGCTGGTATCTGTTTCCCAGTTCATCATAGCACTCTGTAAGTGCACCTTTAGGAATAAGATATGAAAAAGAGTTTAATCTAAATGAATGTATTCTTGTTTGTACCTTGTGAAATGCTCACGCATCACTTGCTAGCTTGCCATTGTAGAGAAAAATATTAAAATGAGGTCGGTCACTGTCAACTGACCATCAATAATAATCATCAAGGACCTTTACCAATTATTTAAATGTTTATCTAATTTTATATTAACCAGGACCCCTAGCTCCTTACCCTCATCTCTTCTAAGTCATTCATACCTAACTCACACTTTCATTAAAAGATAAAGGGGAAAAGAGCATACAACATTCAAATTTACTAATATCAGTAATGCGTACCCCAAATTAAGGGGAGACTCAAATCACATTGGGATAGCTTTTTAAAAAAGAATCAGCAACCTTAAAAAAGAAAAAAAAAAAAAGGATCTCTAAGCCTACTTCACTACAACACAGTGTTATAGAGAGGTTTTCTTAGTGTCTAGACTTTCTAAATTGAAGTACTTGGCAGAGGCCCTTCTAGTCCAAGGAATCACAATCTTGAGATGCCACTAGCTTATGGCTTACATATGAATCTCATTAGCACAATTACCACAGAAATGACGGAGGTGTTTTATTAACCCCAATTAGTCAACGTTACAAAGAAGCTACAGGTTAAAAAGGAAGACAAAAAGGATATTAAGTTTATAACCAGCTGGCTCAGAAGAAGGAAAAAAGCATTTGTGGTTTTAAGGAAGGTATTAATAACTAATTTTCTTATAAAGCATAAACTGCATTATAATTACCAGGACTTCCCCTGGGGAGCTTGAAAGTATACTTAAATGTTTTATTGTAAGGTTATTCATAATGTGTCCTTTGCTCAAGTGAAACACTAATGCTAGCTGATTTTCAATTTGGATAAAAAACAAAAACATCTACCATACTCAAAACACTTATATACAAGGTAATAAAAATGGGAAGTGGGACACTGAGAAATAGTTATCAATGAACAAAGAGTTAATGAGCTGATCTCTGTGGTCACTATCAACAGGCCGAAAATACAGAGCACAGGAAATTAGACTAGAACAGTCACCAACCCACCATGGGGTTGATCGGGTCTGCCTTCTAGTTACATAAACAATATGAGCTTGGATAAGAGCTAAGTCAGCAAGCATAAGACACTGTAGCTCCTCTTTACTCTGTTTAATGATATTGCTCAGCCTGTGCTGTTCTCTATGAATCTGAACACTGCTATGACACCGTAAACATGGATATACTACAAGCACTGTTATGATCACATACCTCTCTAGGACTTCACAAGAATCACCAGAAAACAATTCTCACATAGAATCGCTGCAAGAACACTTACTAAACACCTGGAAGTGTGCAGTGCATGTCACTGGCACTGGAGACAAGGTTACAAGGGAGCCAAGATTGTCCTTGACCTCCAGGAGTTTATAATCAAGGTGAGAAGATACAACATATCTACCAAAGACTTAAGTACAAACTGATACACTAAAAATAAAACACAGCCAAGTTAAGATATCACACAATATGCCCGGCTGGTGTGGCTCAGTGGATTGAGTGTCATCCCATGGACTGAGAGATCCTGGTTCGATTCCCGGTCAGGACACATGCCCAGGTTGTGGCCTCAATCCCCAGTAGAGGACATGCAGGAGGCAGCCAATAGATGTTTCTCTCTCAGATTGATGTTTATATCTCCCTCCCCCTCTCTCTAAAAAATCAATAAAAACATATTTAAAAAATAAAAACATATTTAAAAAACATTAAAAAATAAAAGATATCACACAAAAGAAAAGTGACTAGAGTTGATAGAGCCAAGGAGAAATTCTGTAGAAATAGTGTGTTTGCCCTGACCGGTTTGGCTCAGCAGTTAGAGTGTTTGACCTCAGACCAAAGAGTCGTGGGGTCAATTCCAGTCAAGGGCACATACCTCAGTTGTGTTCAGTTCCCGGCCCTGGTCGGAGTCGCGCGGGAGGCAACCAATCAATGCTTCTCTCTCACATCAGTGATTCATTCTTTTTCTCCCTCCTTCCCTCCCACTCTACCTGAAGATAAATGGAAAAATATCCTCGGGTGAGGATTAAAAAAAAAGAAATAGTGTGTTCTGGGGATGACAGAATGTAAATAAAGGGCATCCCAAGAAATAAGAATGATATGGAAAGAAGAACTAGTAAACATAAATAGGGAATAGCAAGTGGCTTTGTTGAGGTGGGACACAGAATCAATGACGTAAAATTACTGGACAGACAGCAAAGGTGAAAACCTGATAGAGGAGTTCAGGAGTTCATAGACATAATACTATAAAAAATTACTAGAAGTTTGAAGTAGCTAATACAGGTACATAAGTCATATCCAACAAATATTGAGTATTCATTATATGCCAAGCAATATTCCAGGTGCTAGAGTTATGTTAATGAACAAGACAAACAAGACAAAACCTGAAGGTTATTTGCTCGTTTGTATGAAGGGAGAATGACTGACTAGAATCAGGGGAACCTGCTAAAATAATTGCCTCACTACAGCAATGGAAAAAAATGGATCTGAGGGAATCAATCAATGGTAACTGGCAGGACCTACTGATAGGTTATATATGATGGAAAGCAAAAAGGAAAGAAGAACCACCTAACTAGACAACGAGATTAACAGAGAATTTAGGATTACAAGATTCTTTGTTTAGTTTTTAACTGTGTCAAGATCAGTGAGATACTTCAGTTGAATTATTTGCAGGTAACTGAAAATGCATAGTATTGGAAAAAAGGGTAAAAGTAGTTTGTACAATAATTTTTTTTTAATTTTTTGTCTTTATTAATTTTAGAGAGATAGAAACATCAATGAAAGAGAACACTGATTGGCCACCTCCTGCATGCCCCCCACTGGGGATTGGGCCCACAACCTGGGCATGTGCCCTGACCGAGAATCAAACTGGTGACCTCTTGGTGCAGGGGCCGATGCTCAACCACTGAGCCACATCGGCCGGGCTTCTTTTTTTTTTTTTATTGATTTGAGAGAGGGAGGAAGGGAGAGGGAGAGAGATAGAAACATCGATTAGCCGCCTCCTGCATGCCCCCCACTGGGTACTGGGCCAACAACCTGGGCATGTGCCCTGACCAGGAATAGAACCGGCAACCTCTTGGTGCGTGGGTCGACACTCAACCACTGAGCCACACTGGCTGGGCTACAATAATTATTTCAAATGTACAAGTTTAAACATAAAAGCAACCACTGAAAAGTGCTTCTAATTGTATCTATATGAGGTGATGGGTGTTAAATAAACATAATGTAGTAATCATTTCACAATATATGTAAGACAAAGCATTATATTGTACACCTTAAACTTACACAGTGATGTACGTCACTTACACCTTAATAAAACTGGAAAAAAAGAGTGCTTACTAGTTCTAGCTCTAGCTAAAGATTTGAGATACATCAACATTTAAGTCTCACAATAGCCTTTAAACTAAATCTATTATACTCATTTTATAAATGGGAAAATTAAAGCAGAAAGAAGTAACTTGTCCAGGGTGAGAGACAGTAGGTGACAGAGAAAAATAATCTGCTTCTTGAAGAAAGAAATGTCTAACATAGGAGTAAGACTACTGAGCTGGGTTCCTGGGACAGTGATAAGCTTAATGGGAAGAAGGAAACAAGCTTAGAAAAAATAAAATAAAAGGCAGAGACAAATACAAGAGGGATAAAAAACCAAACATGAATGACAGGGAGCAAGAAACCAACAGTCCCAATGCAGCCCAACAACATACTTGCCAGTGACATTAACCATAGATGAGAGGAGGAACTGGAAGATAAGGCAAAAGAAAATGGTGACTAAGGGAAGCTTCAGTGCTGTGAGGCCACCGCACACAGTAAAAAAAAAGTGGACGACATATTACAGTCACTACCTCATCTACAATACTTGTGAGGAATGTGTGAAAAATAGGGTATAGTTAAAAGATAGTTTTGCTTTAAAGAAACCCTGTATGTTTAAATACAAAGGGAAGGAACCACTCTAAAAGTTGACAACATAGGGATTTTTCTACCTTTCCAAAATCACTTCCATCTGTGTTTGCATTTGCAATTTATAAAAGGTCTTAATCACCCCCACTGGCCACTAAGGGTGCACTTCATTCAGCAATTCTCCACTAGTCTACAGGAGTTCTAGCCAAGCTTGCTTACATTGCTCACCAAATGTCCTCTGTGGAAGGACACACTGGTCTTTTTTCCCTTCTCCTTGCAAACCCACTGTAGGAGTCCTGGCAGAGACAGATGGCCACCAGGATAAATGACTGCCAGGGCCTCTCCTCACCAGGTCAGGAAGCCCTGAAAGCTCCCCCTGGTAGGAAGAAAGCTGCCAAGACTCCACCTTCTGTTCTGGTTTCATACATAATTTCCCGAAGTTGCTTTTATTTATCTTCTATCTATATGACTGGCTCAGATGTTCTGTTTTCCTTAGTCAACCATTTTCTATGGCTGTTTTTAATTAGGCTTCAAAATACTTCACAAAAGTATAAACATAAAACTAAATTACAATGCCAAATAATAAAAATAGTTTCACTAAATGCCAGAAAGTCTAACACTTTACTCTTTCTCAAGCAGTCTTTCAGATTAGAAAGAAAAAAGTCTTTTTAAGCATCCAAAGGCCTCACTCCTTATCACTCAATTCTAACTCCTGTAACACTGCAGCTCAGTCTTAAAATTGTTACTGCTTGAAACTTACATAGCTACATAAATTTCTAACAGTTGGGAAAAAAATCAATTTTTATGTTAAAAAATATTCTGGGGACATGAGGATGTTATTTTTATTGTGGTGATGGTTTCACAGGTATATATATATGTCAAAGCTGCTCCAACTACACACTTAAATATGTGCTGTTTCACATGTTTCAATGTATCTCAATAGAGATGAAAATTTAACATTTAAAATACACGGGCACCCTAGCCGGTCTGGCTCAGCTGTCAGAGCATCGGCCCTTGAACTGAAGGGTCACAGGTTCCATTTTTGGTCAAGGGCATGTAC